CAGGATTCTAGGAAGTATGGAGGATTGGGGCACCTTGATGTGCATGTCCCTAGGTCATTGAAGGCAGCAGGCTATTTAGATAAAAAATAGTTAAAAGGTGTCATATGGGCTATTTGACTTTATTAGTCAAGGCACTGAATGAATGAGCAAGAATGTTACGATGGAGCTGTATCAGACTTTGGTTAGGCCACAGCTGGAGTACTGCATGCAGTTCTGGTCATTAAACTATAGGAATTATGTGATTGCACGAGAAAGGGTGCAGAGGAGTTTCACCAGGATGTTGCCTGGGCTGGAGCAATTCAGCTACGAAGACAGAGTAGTTAGGCTGGGGCGGTTTTCCTTCGAGCAGAGAAGGGTGAGGGGAGACCTGACTGAGGTGGACTTAGTAGAAGGATCAATAGCCAGGGGGTACAGTTTTAAAGGCAAGGAACAAGAGATTTAGTGAAGTTTGGAGGAAATATGATTTTTTTCATCCAGTGGATTGTGGCTATCTGGAACTCGCTGCCTGAAAAGGGTAGTAAAGGTGAGAATGCTCAAGACATTTAAATAGTACATAGATGCAACACCTGAAACACCACAGAATACGAGGCTACAGCCAAGTGCTGGAAAATGGGACTAGAACAGATAGATGTTTGCTGTAAAAACTCTACTCACTGACTCCAAGGGCAGTGGCCATTGTTGTGTTAGCAACTGTCAGAAACAAACATCAGAAACGAAAAAAAAAAAAAAAAAATTGTCTAGTTTCATCCTAAACAACATCACAATCCCTCACCTCTGCAGACATTCTGTGAGTAATAATAAAAACCTTATATTTCACTGGATATTGTTTGTAACACAAACAGATTTGTAGGTTAGAAAACTCAAAGCCAACAAAAAGCACACACGGTGAAGTTCTTGAATTAAGATTACCTCCATGACAAACTGTCCAGAGTATGTTCCGGTCATGGTCGAACTCTGACCTGCAGCCAGGATGCCAATGGCCCAGATGTAGAGAGCAGCAGCACCAAAGTAACAGCCCAACACAACGCCCTGAGAGAAAGGCAACAGACAGGTTATACAACGAGGGAGAGTGCCGGGGCTACAAATATTTACAATATATATTCATGACTTGGATGACAGAAGTGAATGTACCAGCATCAAATTTGTGGATGGCACGAAAATAGATGGTAAGGCAAATGGTGAGGATGACACAGAGTCTGCAGAAGGATACAGACAGGTTAAGGGAGAGAGAAAAAAAACTTGGCAGATGGAATATAATGTGGGAAAATGTGAGGTTATGCACTTTGGCAAAAAGAATGGAGGAACTGAATGTTATTTAAATTGGGAGAGACTACAGAAAGCTTCAGTGCAGAGGGATTTGGCAGTCCTCATTCACGAATCATAAGCAGCTAACATCCAAGGTCAGCGGGTAATAAAAAAGGCAAATGTAATATTGGCATTTATTTCAAGTAAAGAGGTCTTGCACCTGCAGTACTGAACAGTTTTGTCCCCTTATCTTTAGTGACATTGGGTCAGTCCAGAGAAGATTCACGAGGTTGATCCTTGGGGAAGTTTCTTATGCGGAGCTGTTGGGCCTGTACTCAGTTTAGAAGAATGAGGAGAGACCTTACTGAAACAAAGCTTTTTAGGGAGACTTGACAGGGTAGATGCAGAAAGGTTGTTACCCCTTGTGAGAATTTAGGATAATCTCGGAACAAGGGGGCCGCCCAGTTAGGACAGAGATAAGGAGGAATTTTCTTTTCTCAAAGGGGAGTGGATCTGTGGAATTCCTCACGTTGCTGTGTATGTTAACACAGTTGCGCTTTCACCCTGGCAATCTCAATTAATCAGCTGCATACTGCAACTAGAAACAGCTCATTTGTATTTCATTGAAAGTATGTATTTCGAAGTCTTTATGCCAACTGCCTGTTTCAAAAATGATACTGCACCAGTTTTGCCACCCATAACCATGGAGAAAACTGAACAGGGCTATGCCAAAGGTTACTTTTGTCTGGTTTAAAACGTGTTCCTACTTACCCCTTTGTAGATATTAACGTCGAAAGTCTGATTGTTCAGAGGAAAGAGATTGGAATATGGACCACTCTGGTTGAAACAATCATTGTGCTTCAAAATAAAAAAAACAAAAAGAAAAATATTTTAAAGTGTGAAACACAAACCTCAATATTCAATATCAATAACTTCTGCAAATATATTTACCCTGCGGATGTATTACAAATCAATACTATATAGAGAAGAAAAAAAAAAAAAAAAAAAAAAGATCAGCGATTACAGTTTCTTTGCAGGTTTTCGTTCCAATCTGGTTTTCCTCATTTTTGCTTTCAGACAGCAGTTGTTCATTATTCTGCCATTCACACCTCCTCTGGAGCCACTGTGTCAGGTCTCAAAGGAGAAGAAATTCCTTCAATCAGAGGTAAGTGAATCGTTGGAATTCCTTACCCCAGAGGGTTGTGGATTCTCTGGGATGGGACAGGAATTACACTGGGTGGGATATTAAAGGACAAAGGGTACAAGAGAGGGCTGTGGAATTAGACCTGGTGGGATATGAGAGGGTGCAGGGGAGTTGGAATTAGACTGGGTGGGATATTAAACAGCATGAAGAGTGAGGAGGAGAATGGGATTCGATTGGATGGTATATTTAAAGGGTGACAGGAATGATGTGGAGGGTGGGATATTAAACAGTGGGAGGAGTAAAGGGAATGGGATTAGACTGGTGGGATATAACAAGATGTTGGGAGTGACGGGGAGACTGGGAGGAATATTAAACAATGTTAGGACAGGGACAGTGGGATTAGACTGGATGACATATTAGAGGGTATGAGGACAGTGGGATAGTAAAGATTGTGGGAAGTGATGAGGAGAGTGGGTGGTTCCTTGAGATCTTTATACACACAGATTTTTAATGGACTAAGTGACCTCTGTTCTGAAACATTCAGTCAATTTGTATTGGCACCCTGATTTGGGAACGACCACAATATAAGTGTGGCTTCCAGTGGAGTACGTTACCTGTGACACTCACCACTTGTGCATTGGTCTTTCCATAAAACGCCTGCGCAAACACAGAGACCACAAAGACGTTGATGAGGAATGAAACAAACAGAGCCATGCAGGCTTCGATAAAAAAGTAACGATTCGCCTCCTTCACTTCATTCTTATTGGCTCGGTTTACTTCCCTGGACTGACACAGAGAGAGAGAGAGAGAGAGAGAGAGAATGTCAGCACTAGTAACTCAGAGCATGTGCAACGAGGGGTTGAAACATAGTTAAAGACTCCTTAACTTCCTTTTCAGAAATTACATTACACCAGGTTATAGTCCAACAGGTTTATTTGAAATCACTAGCTTTCGGAGCATGTAGATGAAGTACGTGCTTACCTCCACTACACCTGACGAAGGAGCTGTGCTCCGAAAGCTTGTGATTTCAAATAAACCTGTTGGGCTATAACCTGGTGTCAGGTGACTACTGACTTTGTCCACCCCAGTCCAACACCAGCACCAGCACCTCCACCTGCTTTTCAGTACGTCAAGCAATGAGCCCAACCTGTAATAGGGCAAGGAGGAACTCAGATAATGATGCTCACAGATAATGCCTGGTGTACTACGTCAAGACAAACATTTCACAATATCACACAACATACCTCTTGTTATTTGCATGTTTGGAAAGTTTTCCATTGCAAATGGCAGGATTTATTCTGTACAGGCAATTGTATGATCCCAAATCTCAAACTCATGGGAGTTTAAACTTATCTTTGGTTGCTAGTCACGCCAACTCAAAACCATCCTGAGCCAGGCAAAGTGGTCCCAGAACACAGCCACTGGTGACTAAGTGAGGACACAGTTAAGGACTGGGTGGGAGCTCTGTCAGCTGACATGCAAAGTCCAGACAGGGACATATTGGGTGAGCCGTGGATTGAGTTTGGCTGCCAATATCCTGACAATTAACCATTTGTGCTCATACATTAAGAGTCATCACTTGTGGAGGTTACGAGATGGTAACTGATGTTTGAAGCCCAGCCAATAGATGTCCCATCAATAATAAAGAAAAACTGCATAACCATTTCCCCTCCACCACCCCTACAATGATTAAGGTAACTTAAAACATGTTTAAAGTTTAAAAAAAAACACAAAAAGGCAATGCATTAATTTCCTGTACCCATCCAAACCACAATCCATTTTATAGTTCTTGTGAAATGTGCTAACAACCCTAAACAAACAGCTTAAGTGTGGCAGAAGATTACACACACTGGTAAGAACTACTTCTATGAAGGAAGAGTTGGCACATTGCAATGGTGTAGGTAACAGGGTGTGTCAAACGAACTACCTCTGTCATTTAACACTTGATTTGCATACACGCTAACAGAACACAGAACAGAGAAGAGTACAAGAGATAGTAGGAACCGCAGATGCTGGAGAATCCAAGACAACAAGGTGCAGAGCTGGATGAACACAGCAGGCCAAGCAGCATCATAGGAGCAAAAAGGCTGATGTTTTGGGCCGTACAGCACAGGAATCAGGCTCTTCGGCCCAGCATGTCTGCACCGACCATGATGCTATTCTAAACAAATCTGCCTGCACATGGTCCATATCCCTCTATTATCTGCCTTTTCATGTGTCTGTCTAAATGCCTCGTAAACTTTGCTATCATGTTTGTTTCCACCACCTCCCCTGGCAGCACGTTCCAGGCACCCACCACCCTCTGTGTAAAAAAATCTTAAATCGCACTTCTCCTTTAAACTTTTCCCCTCTCATCTTAAACCTATGCTCCCTCGTATTTGACATTTTCACCCTGAGAAAAAGACTCCCAACTCCCCACCCAATCCATACCCCTCAATTGTATATACTTCGATCAGGTTGCCTCAGTCTCTGACGTTCTAGCGAAAAGAATCCAAGTTGGTTACACTGAACGCACCAGCTACTATCTATATGGAAGAAGGTGGCTTGAATGAATTGGCCATCACCAACATGTGGGCACAGGTCACAAGTCACAAGTCACAAGTCCCACTTATATAAATCACTCGTCACTTTGACAAGAAATGGGCATGGCCTTAGGGGGGCATGTCACGTCATCCACCAATTTCACTGCCAAATTGGAGGAGGAACACCAACGGGACCATGCAGGCACTGCATGTAACAAAGGAGCTTCAGTCAGCGTGAAATATAGAAATGGAACTTTACAAAGATCCAAATGTTAGAACATACTCAAAACTCACCTTGACCAAAGCAGAATGTAGGTAGATGTTGTGGGGCATAATTACAGCTCCAACAATGCCAACTGCTTGCTCCAACTGACGGGTTCCACAGCCTGCACAGAAGGGAACAAACATGCCCTTCAACAGCTGTCCCTGGTCTGGGTGTACAGTCACATACTGGAAGACACAGAAACAGAGTTTTGTAGTGAAGAAACCAAACCTCTGTACTAGAAACGATAGATTATCTAATTTATACAAGCAGCATTTTAAATGACGTACAACATATCCAATGTGATGTGGTTTCCCAGAACCAATGATGAACGTTTACACAGATTGTCACAGTTTTGCATGTGATCTCCTACTCCAGCAGCATACAAATCTCAAAGACTAGTGTTATTCCAACAGTTCATTTTGACCTGAAGCTTAACTGACGAGTGGGACTGTAATATGACACCAATCATGTAATGAATAAAAAGTCACCGACAGAGGTACGTATTCTTCTTTATTTCAGTATCCTCTTCACACTGTATGGCCACACTAAAGCAGGACAACAGAGAAGGGGAGAAGGTCCATAGAATGACCAGAGCACCAGCTGCCAGAACAGGTTTACAATGCACACTGTGTGTAATAGTCAAAGTTCAGTAAATGTGTTTGGGCTACTTCAAGTGACAGTCTTACAATTACCATCAGCATGGAACATGGCAGACTTGGGAGCTTAGGAACAGGAACATCAATTACATCTTGACCGAACTGTACCGAACCTGCATCTCACTACCTTGGTTCCATAATCCTTAATACTCTCACCCAGCAAAAACCTCAACAGATTCAGTTTGGAAATATCTAACTGAGGGCAGCACGGTGGCACAGTGATTAGCACTGCTGCCTCACAGCGCCAGCGACCCGGGTTTGATTCCACCCTCAGGCGACTGTCTGTGTGGTGTTTGGACAGTCTCCCTGTGTCTGCGTGGGTTTCCTCCGGATGCTCCGGTTTCCTCCGGATGCTCCGGTTTCCTCTCAGTCCAAAGATGTGCAGGCTAGGTGGATTGGCCATGGGAAATTGTCCGTAGTGTCTGGGGACGGGTCTGGGTGGGATACTCTGAGGGTCGGTGTGGACTTGTTGGGCCGAAGGGCCTGTCTCCATACTGTAGGGATCCTATGATCCCCAGTTGGCCAATGACATGGTGTGGGGTGAGAGGAGGAATGCAAGAACACGGTTACCTTTTGTGTGAATAATGACTACTTCACATCATCCCTGAAGGGCATGGTGCTAATTTAAAGGTTTTACCCCCTCCCTCTAGACTCCTCCAACCAGAAGAAAAGAGACTCTGTCAATGAATGGTCGTATTCATCTTAAACACTTCAATTAGATAACCCCTTAATCTCTATACAACAAAGCTAATCTATGCACCCATAGTCTTTGTAATTTAATCCTTTCAACCAACCATGGGTTCAAGAGGCTGTGGCTGCCCACATACATCAGAGTAGTAGCTGTGCACAACTGCCATATAATTTAATACAGCACAAAATCAAGGTCACAAAATTGGTCCTGGAGGTCGAGGCAAAGAATACTGCAATTGGTTCTCAACAAGAGGAGTTGAGCACAAGAGGCAATGGTCTATTTGAACCCATGCTTGTGCTTCCCCTTCCCCCTGCTGCAAAAAGATCCTGCTTTGTGATGTTGAACGTAGGTTATCCAGATGTGACAAGACCATCCATGTATGGAATTGTGGGGAGCAAGCTGGTGGGACTCTGAATGATCAGCGTGCATAGTAGATTCTGCTTTATAAGATAGGAGGGGGAGGAGATGGTATCAAATCAATAAAACTGACAGTCTATACCAGTGAATCTGTTCCTGTTGATAGAATAGTGCAAAGTGGATAAAGTGAATGAAAACATTGGCAATGCTACATAATATTTTACTAATAAACCCAAGTTTAGAACTAAAATCCATAGAGCAGGATACAAGTAGGAATGAAGAAATACCAAACTTGTGCTTTAAAACCTGTGGTTCAGAGAAGGAAAATACAGGGAGAGGACAGGCTTGACAGTTTCAAAATTTAAAGGAAATAGTGAGTTCAACAAGAGTCAGAGACAGCTCGCAAATCTGGATTCCAACCACTTGAGGCTGAAACAAGAAGAAACAACTATGACGGACGAGTCAGGAATGTCCCAGACAGCAAACATAGTTAGTTCCGGAGTTAATAAACAGCTTCGTTTCATTCCATGGTTTTGAAATAGACAAGTCAATCAATAAGTTCAGAACATTAAGATGACTAATTATGAAACAAGCATAAGAGACTAAACCAGGAGATTTTCTACACAGATTAACATACACTTCAATTATAGATGGACCACAAACATTGAAAATCTAAAAGCTACTGAAGAAACAAAATTCATCACCTCTTACCTCATATCCAAACGTAACTGCCATAACTGTAATGAGGAAGCCAAAGAAAGCTTCCAGTTTTCGCAAACCTGAAGCAGGCAGAGGATTCCAGTTAGAAAGGCATGTGTTTATTAAGCACCTTACCATAACTCAAACATCTCAAAACATTTCACAGGAAATTATACTGAAGTAAAGTAGTAGGTCAATTAACATGGCAGCCAATTTGCACTGAGAGTCCCATCACCAACAATGAGTTAAAAAGCTTAGCTGATCTGATTTTAGGGTTTTATAAAAAGAAATCTTTTATGGTTGCTGGTTGGGTGGGGTGGGGGTGGATTGGAGGAGAGAAAGAAAGAGAGAGAGAAGAATGCTGGTCAAGACACCAGGAGAACACCCTCCTTTTTAAAACAAAAATCATGCGATCTGTAAGTAAATTGAAGTTATAGAGTCATAGAGCTGTACAGCACAGAAACAGATCCTTTGGTCCAACTCGTCCATGCCACCAGATATCCGAAATTAATCCAGTCCCATTTGCTAGCATTTGGCCCATATCCCTCTAAACCCTTCCTTCTCATGTACCCATCCAGATGCCTTTTAAATGTTGTCATTGTACCAGCCGCCACCACTTCCTCTGGCAGCTCATTCCATACACACACTACCTCCTATGTGGAAAAAAGTTGACCCTCAAGTCCCTTTTAAATCTTTCCCCTCTCACCTTAAACCTGTGCCCCTCTAGTTTTGGATTCCCCTACCCTGGGAAAAAGACCTCGTCTATTCACCCTATTCATGCCCCTCATGATTTTATAAATCTTCATAAGTCACCCCTCAGCCTCCAATGCTCCAGGGAAAATAGCCCCAGCCTATTCAGCCTGAACCCTTCAACATCCTTGTAAATCTTTTCTGAACCCTTTCAAGTTTCACAACATCCTTCCTTTAGCAGGGACACCAGAATTGCACACAGTATTCCATTTGATGTCTCTTTTAAAGGAAGATATCTGTGACAGGGCAGCACTCTCTCAGTATTGCACTGAGATGTTAGCCAAGATTAACTGCTCAAGTGGGGCCCAGAACATTTAAAGACAGTGCCACTGAGTTACAATGTTATTGGATTGATCAAAATGTAAAACATTAGGTATGAATCAGTTCTAAGTGGTGCACTTGTAAGCAGCACATTGTGTCTCCCACCTCAAACACCCCATTCAGAGCATTCTGAACAATGGAGAGTGCAGTTAGCAATGGTGGGAAGGGGAATCCAGCTTTAAATGGAATATTACAGAATTAGAAAGGTCCAAATGCTGAATTCCACAATTTTTACGGAAGTTACTTCCCCATTGTTCAGACACAAAATGGGTTTGCACCTGCTGAATCAGCTTGGTGTACTCCAGCTAAAAACATCAGTGGCTGCTGGTGGAAAGTAAAGCCTAACTTACTCCCAAACGGTGACCATTTATCAGTTTCTGCATTGAACATGGATCACTTTTATTTGTTTGCACATTTTCCCTAAAGCATCCAAATTTCCTAGACTACCCTAAAGTCTTTGCGATTGCTGTTGCATAATAAGTAGCAGATTGGCAGGATGAAATCCTTTTGGATCCCATCTCGTATGAATTGGTAAAGGGGCCTGGTGACACCACAGACAGTATCTTCACTCTCGTCAACAGCTAGAAAGTTACATTTGCAAACCACCTGGCTTTTGCTTCGTCTGACAGACGTGTGTTTGTTACTTCCATTTCATGCAGAAGTAGCAGCTGAGCTTTGTTATCTGCTGCAAGCAACAGTACAGGCACCTTCCAAGGACTGGGTCAACTTTCTCAGTCGTTGCAGCATTAGGCTTCCATACGACAGGATCTTTCCAAAATACTTAAGGAACTATCTACCAGGCGTGTTCATTTATGTGTAAAGCAAGTGACTTCTGTCATGATTGCTGGAGTTAAACAACTGTCACTGTCACTTTCCCAATGGAAATGAGACAAAACTGAAAAGGGCACAGGTTTTTTTTATTGACTCTGCTCTCTGGGGTAATATATTGATGGATGGAATGGTCCTACCATATTACAGGGTCTGGGCACAACAGCTAGTTAACAAGCAAGGCTCCACAACAGTATTCCTTTTGAGGTTTGTCTGTGGTCAAAGTCCAGTGTCATGGTCAACCATTTGGCCCATCAAATCTGGCAGGATACTGTGTGTGTGTGTGTGTGTGTGTGTGTGTGTGTGTGTGTGTGTGTGT